ATATTGCATCACGAATTTTGGTGAAGAGGAAAAACAATCGCTAATTTTTTTGTTATTCTAATTTGAGTCTCAAACATTTTATTTATTTATTTGCAATTAAGTTCTTTTATCCAAGTAACCAAACTTATGTGACATTGGACACACGTGAGAGTTTTAATGACTCATGTGTTTGGGAGTATTTTTATTTTTATTTTTTCCAAAATATGTATAGTGTTTTTGTATGCATATGAAGCTGATCAATACACAAGAACTTAAATATAGATAAAAAATCGTTATGTAATTTATAACCAATTACCCTTAAATATCTTCTCTTTAATACAGCCTAACCCATTTATGATATAGCTCCTCATTTCTTGTCTATTATTTCTTTCCATTTTTTTTTCTTTTTTTAATACACTCAAAATTCTGGTGTAATTATTTAATACAATGTGATTATCTTTGTGTTCATTCAAAGTTTATATTAGTAAAGTCTATATTTTATTTACCTTAACCACAATGTATAATTTTTTAAAATTAATTAAGGATTTTTCTTCCATAATAGTGACTTCTAAACCCCTAAAAAAACCCGTACTCCTTGCCAACTTTCCTACATCCTGTTCTTCTTGTCATCTCTCTGTTTTTTGCTCTGTTTTTCTCTGCTATGGCTCCCCCTAATAACCTTGCTAATCCCCTCTTTGACATTGGCAAACAGGAGAATTCAGAAAAACTCTTTGATTTGTCCAATGGGAACTTTAGTGTCAAAGGATTTCCTTTGCTCTCTGATGTTCCAAGTAATGTCACTTTCACTCCATTTTTGTCTATTTGCAAATCCTCTGATGCTCCACTTTCCCTGCTCCAACGTGTGCAAGCTCTGTCACATAAGGGAGGGTTTGTTGGGTTCAACAAAGAGGACGAGTCCGATCGGTTGCTGAACTCTCTGGGTAAGTTTACTGGGAGGGATTTTTTGTCCATCTTTAGATTTAAAACTTGGTGGTCTACCATGTGGGTGGGCAGTTCAGGTTCTGACCTGCAAATGGAAACTCAATGGCTTCTTTTTAATGTTCCTGAAATCATGTCTTATGTCATGATCATACCCATCATTGATGGTAGTTTTAGGTCTGCATTGCAAGCTGGGGTTGATGGTCATGTCATGATTTGTGCTGAGAGTGGTTCTACCAAGGTGAAAGCATCATCTTTTGATGCTATAGCTTATGTTCATGTGTCTGAAAATCCTTACGATATCATGAAAGAGGCTTTTAGTGCACTTAGGGTTCACCTCAATACCTTCAGGCTCTTTGAAGAGAAAACTGCACCTTCTCTAGTTGATAAATTTGGGTGGTGCACTTGGGATGCTTTTTATTTAACTGTAGAGCCTGCCGGTATATTGTGCGGTCTAAATAGTTTGGCTGAGGGTGGGATGTCTCCTAGGTTTCTCATCATTGACGATGGCTGGCAAAGCATTAATCTTGATGGTGAGAATCCCAACCAGGATTCTAAAAAACTTGTTCTCTGTGGAAGTCAAATGACTGCTAGGCTTCATAGGCTTGATGAATGTGAGAAGTTCAGGAAGTATAAGGGAGGTTCTTTGTTAGGTCCTAGCCCTCCTCCATTTGATCCAAAGAAACCTAAGATGCTAATCTCTAAGGCAGGTGAACTAGAGCGTGCCGAGAAGGATCTCAAGAAGGCAATCCAATCTGGTTCAGTAACTGACTTGTCTGCTTTTGAATCTAAAATTCAGAAGTTACAACAAGAATTGGAAGGCATGTTTGATGAAGAAGAAAACAGTGTTGATTCTAGCGATGCTTGCAAGGGTGACAGTTATGGCCTGAAGGCTTTAACGAGGGATTTGAGGACAAAGTTTAAGGGTTTGGATGACATATATGTGTGGCATGCTCTCTGTGGTGCCTGGTCTGGTGTTAGGCCAGGTTCTACTCATCTGAATGCAAACATCATGCCTTGCAAAGTGTCTCCTGGTCTTGATGGAACAATGGAAGATCTTGCCGTGGTTAAGACGGTTGAAGACGGTATCGGTCTTGTTCATCCTGACCAAGCTGGGGACTTCTATGACTCTATGCACTCCTACCTTGCCAATGTCGGCATCACAGGAGTCAAAGTGGATGTCATTCATGTAAGTTATTGTTTTTCTGTTTCATTATTTGGGTAGATTAGATATTCTAAATTGTTTTTGTTTCTAAATTTTGTCTGCAGACTCTTGAATATGTGTCTGAAGAATATGGAGGCCGTGTTGAACTTGCGAAGGCTTATTACAAGGGCCTGTCAGATTCATTGTCGAAGAATTTCAAAGGATCAGGACTTATCTCTAGCATGCAACAATGCAATGATTTCTTCTTTCTTGGAACAAAGCAGATATCCATGGGAAGAGCAGGTAAGTTTAATGGTCTTCACTTGTCAGAAAGTTCTTACATTCATTGCCTTGGTCTTACTTTTCAGACATTTTGTTACAGGTGATGATTTCTGGTTCCAGGATCCGAATGGTGATCCTATGGGAGTTTATTGGTTGCAAGGAGTCCATATGATCCATTGTTCTTACAACAGCATGTGGATGGGTCAGTTTATCCAACCAGATTGGGACATGTTCCAATCTGACCATCTTTGTGCCAAATTTCATGCTGGATCAAGAGCTATTTGTGGTGGACCTGTGTATATCAGTGACTCTCCAGGTTGCCACGATTTTGAACTCCTCAAGCAGCTTGTGTATCCTGATGGAACCATTCCCAAATGCCAGCATTTTGCCCTTCCCACCAGGGATTGCCTCTTCAAGAACCCTCTATTTGACAACAAAACAATCCTCAAGATTTGGAACTTCAACAAGGTATTCATTTACTTCCAATCTTTGATCAGTTTTTCTCATATTTAAACTCTGTACACTTCAATTTTATTTTTATTAAATTTTTTTTTTTTTTTTTTAAACTTGATTGAGGTTTTATACTCTTCGAGATTTTTTGTTACAATGCTACCAATCAGAGATAACATTTGGCATTGTAAAATAAGAAATATCAAAGAATACATATAACATGTCAATCACTGGTTAGTGATTTTATAAAGGAATGCCAGTTGCAAGAAATCTAAAAGAATAGAGCATCTCAATTAAAAAAACTTGAAAAATACATTGTCCAAATCTTGGAAAAACTCAATCTTTGAATAAAGATGAAATGAAATTGATTGATTCCCTTGCGATTTTTTTGCAGTATGGAGGAGTAATTGGAGTTTTCAACTGCCAAGGAGCTGGATGGGACCCCAGAGAGCAAAGAATCAAGGGCTACCCTGAGTGCTACAAGCCAATGTCAGTTTCTGTTCATGTTTCTGACATTGAATGGGACCAAAACAAAGAGGCTGCTCAAATGGGTGAGGCTGAAGAGTACATAGTCCATCTCAACCAGGCTGAAGATCAAGAACTCCTTCTTGTATCACCAAAATCTGCACCCATTGAAATCACCATCAATCCATCTACATTTGAGATCTTCAGCTTTGTCCCTGTCAAGAAACTAGGCAGCTCTGGCATCAAATTTGCTCCCATTGGACTGACCAACATGTTCAACAGTGGCGGCACCATTCAAGAAGTGGAGTACGTTGATCCAGAAGAATTTGAGACCTGTGTGAAGATTGAGGTTAAAGGTGGAGGTGATTTCTTATCCTACTCAAACGCATGTCCAATAAGGTGTTTCTTGAATGGAGCTGAGTCTGGTTTTCAATGGCTGGACAATGGCAAGCTGAGCTTGAATCTCCCTTGGACTGCAGAGGCTGCTGGCATATCTTCTGTCGCTTTTCTTTTTTGAATTTACTAGTGAGATTTTTATTTTTTAAAATCAATCTCACTAGTAAGAAGTATTTCATGAATTTGACCCCTTTTTTTCATATTAATTTATAAATGTTATAGCCTGGTTTATATATTGTGTTATTTTCAGAATTTCATCCCATTCTGTTAAGCTTTGAATTTATTTTTTTCTCTTTCTTCTTGTTTGATTGATAGGGACAAGTATATACATCTATAGTTGTCCGAGTCAATTATAAATTAGTCTCTTTAATTTTGAGAAACAAATTAATTAATCTCTTTTGCTTCAAAAACTATTTTTTTATTTTTTATTTTTTTATGAATTAATTTTTTTTTCAATTTATTTTGATTTTTTTGTTTTAAGAAATAACAAGAAATTAATAAAATATTGAATGACAAGATCAAAATTTGTTTCTAAAAAATAAAGAGATTAATTTATAATATACTTGTAGTTGCCTTAGTAATAGTATTTTTTTTCTTTTTGAGGGTGGAAAATGTTTTTTTGTTAATCCCAATAAACCAAAACGAATTTTTTATTACCAAATAAAAAAAATGATGCTTAATTTTTATAATATGTACTTGGATCGCTATGTATGAGAGCAAACAATTAAGAGGATTCGTAGCTTTTAATTAGTTGTCTAATTAATTAATTATAATTATGTAAAAATTAAGATACATGTATGCCGTCCTATTAACCAATATCCAAATATATACACAAACAACGTTAAGTTAACTAGTCATTTCTATTTCAAAAATTAATTATCGAAACAAGAGAGACTAATTAATTTGTTTTTCAACCAATAAGACTAATTTATAATTTATTTTGTAAAAAAATTCCAACACCTATATATTGCAAAGATTTCTCTTATACACTGAAACCACAGTCTGAAACCACAGTTGATGAACTTGGAGAGGGAAGTTACTAGGTTGGATTTTATGAAGAGACATGTCCTTCAAACCATGTTCAACTTTGAATTGATGTGTAAATTTTTCCTTCTATATATGAAGATTCATGAATGATCCGTCTCCATTGGAAAGAAATTATTTTCCATTAATGGAAGTCTAAATTATTGTCCAATTGAAGGATACCTATTCTTTGTATGTTGATATCAAGAACCGTGTGAATGGTTTAATTTAATCACATATATAATCCCATTTACATGTACTTGTTCTTCACAGATTCACAAGAAAAGCAAAGGATTTTCAGAATTATAGATTTTGATCAATCATGGGTAGCATTGGTAGTTCCTCACCACCCCATGTAGTGATTTTTCCATACATGGCTCAAGGCCACACTATTCCATTGACAGACTTGTCCAAGGCATTAGCCCAACGTAGCCTAAAAGTAACCATCATTACCACCCCAGCAAATGCTCCATTTATCCTTTCCAAAACCTCTATCCACCCAACAATCTCTTTGTCCATAATCCCTTTTCCAAAAGTTTCAGAATTGCCAGAAGGTTGTGAAAATGTTAACCATCTTCCTTCTCCAGATCTCATTTTACCTTTTTTGCACGCCATCAAACAACTCCAACAAGCTTTTGAAGATGTCCTTAAAGAGATGTGTAATTCAAGAAATGGCTGGCATCGGTTGTGCCCACAACTCCAGCAAGCTTTCAATCACATATGACAGATACACAGATGGAGGAGATTGCACTTGGATTGGAGAACGCAGGACAACCGTTCATTTGGGTGGTCAGATCAAGAACCTGGATCCCACCAGTTGGGTGGGAGGAAAGGGTCAAGGATAGAGGGTTGGACCAGCAGTTGGTGGGTTCTTGACTCACTGTGGTTGGAATTCGGTGCTGGAGGGCTTGTCCATGGGTGTGCCACTCTTGGGTTGGCCCATGGGAACAGAGCAAGGATTGAATGCTAGGTATGTGGCAATGGGGCTAAAAGCAGGGCTCATGGTCCTTCAAGAACAAGATAAATTCGATGCAAAAGATGACCCTATGGCTGTTCAACATAATGTGATTTGTGACGTTGTGAAGGAGTTGATGCAAGGTGACCAAGGGAGGAAGGCCAGGGAAAGGGCACAAGAGTTTGGGATAAAGGCAAGACAAGCTGTGGAAAAAGGTGGATCATCTGATAAGAAATTGGATGAACTAATTGAATCCCTCACTCCAAGACAAAACAATTCTAGGACTATATGAATTTACTTTATTGGTCCTTTTCAAGATTCAAGATAACATTGAATTCAGTATTTTATTAAAATTTAATTTAGAAACCATATTAACATAATTCTTGGGGTTAAAAATCTTAATCTAGCTTTATATAATAAAATAATATTTAATCTGTCTTTATATCATTTGTTGAGTCAATTTTATCTTTAAATATAATTTAAGTTTTTAATATATTATTTTATCAAAATTTTCATATCAAAACACCAGAATTATTCACATGATTTACGCAGACTAATTTTATTTTTATAATATCTTACAAACCAGTCAAATGCAAATTGTGTGATTGATTTTAATAATTTCACTTAAAAATTTTACGAGAATAATATATTAATTCAATTATTGATATAAGTACAAAATAAAAAATTGTCATATTATATGAAAACGGAATGAGCCGTTAAATTTAATTCTTGAACCAAAAACTTGTAACCGCCAGCATACAACTTTCCTACCAAACATACCATGTTATTATGTATAAGGAAAAGCAAACTTCACTTTCAATAGCAACTTGCCAGAAGTCCTCAACCACCAAGTGATACGTTTTCATTTGGCAGATGAACAAACGTATACAAGACAGAAGCTATAACTCAAAACGCTTGAATTGCAGGCAGATTTTCTAATACAGTTTCAAATGCAGGAAGAGACAGTAATCTATTGCATGAAGAATCTTATGGAAATGGGAAAAAAATAAAATAAGAGAATTTGACTGAAAATATTTGAGCTGATTTAAACAGTATCATGCAGCCGTAAGTGTCAATCGAAAATTATCTGTCACAATATCTTTTATTTTACCAATCAAGCGGTTGTGTTTTGTGCTGCCAGACATACTTAGCTTCGGCCGAAAAAGAGAGCTGAGCATGGTTTCCAAACCTTGCGCACTATATTTCACACGTCTGCTGGCACTAGCATCCGTTTCGGCTCGAAATCCATAGTTCTGCAAGTAGCTCCTATAAACAGGAACATAAGCTTGGACAACAAGTTTACACATCTTCAACCTCAAGTCTTCATTGGGAACAACCCAATTGGATTGCTTCTGGTACATGTGATCAAACTCCTCAATGAAGGACTTCAGTCTCTTCTTGGCCAAGTCTCCGACAAATCCACCAGTCGGAGAAGATGAAATTCGACTCTCTTGGCTAAGGAGAGCAAATGTTTTGCCCCAACTTTCTCTCAGGTAAAGAGTCATGTAATAGTCCCTATACTGTTCATGAGCTTTCAGCCAAGATTCTCCCATCAAATCTCCAAGCTTTGTGCCTTTCAAACTGCAAAAATGACAATGGTTGTTCATCATGAAAAGGTAGGACAATGTGAAATCATAGTGGGCCTTTGACCACACATCCAAGTTCAGACCAATCTGCTTTATTATGTAATAAATCTGGTTGGTGATAAGTTCTTCTTGGTACTTCTCTTGTTTCCAACTTTGTTGGATTGTCAGAATCTGAGTCAATAGTGGCAGATAATCATCCCCTAGTAGACGATTACAGTAATCAGTTACAAAGCTTACTAGCCTTGGAACACTGCCGTTTAGAGGAGGAGAACTTCGCCTTTGCAGCTCCACTTGGATCGGAAGTTCCCAGAAAATCTCACAAGCACCATTAACAACTCCCTTGATGAGATTCCTAGTCAGAGTCTGGATTTCAATGCATGCTGGCCCGCGAAAAAGTCTGTTGAAATCCACTCTCAGATTGTCCAAGATCGAAAAAATGTCCAATAGCTTTAAGAGCTTGAGCGGATCGTTCTTACACATTGTGATCTTCTTCCCAAAGTGGAGGAAAGAAAGAATTCCAGATTGCGTAATGATTTTTGCGAAGCAATCCATCCAAACTTCTGGTCCATTCTTCTCAAAAACGTCACTGCAGAGCTTGTATTCAATTTCAAAAATGTGCTTTACAGCAAACTCCAAATGCCTGCACCATTGATCTATGTAAAACTCTACATCTTGCACATCATCGAATTCGCTGATTGACTGGTCGAGGTAATTCAATTCAAGAGCTCGAAAGCTTCTCTCGGTAATCAGACTCCGAACTTCAACATAAGTCGACATACACTTCTCAAGCCTATTATCTGCATCTAGTCTGTCAATAATAGCCTGAAGCTTCTGTATAACAGCAACTGGCAAAGGAGATGAAGCAATGGAGGCTTCATTTCCAATGGAAGATGAGAAAATATCCATATCCAGAACAACATGAATGCAGTTCTCCATAAGAAGCTGCTTGAATTCGTTTTCGAGTTTGTCAAATGCAGCACAGATAATCCCCCCGCTGAGCCAAGCACGTTCCTCAGTAGCATGCAACTCTTGCAGAATGCCCAATGACTTCTTGACATTCAAGATGTACAGATCATCATGAACTGCATTATCTTCCAGAAACTCAAGAATAGCCTCCAGCCACTGAATTGCTAGGCCACAGTTGCCGGTCAGAAATTTCAATGATTCCTTAAGCTGCTTCACCATCAGCAGGTAAGTTGAGAGATCAGAACATGGGTGTGATAAAATTGACTTCTGGAGCCCTTGAATGGTATCATACACCTTCAGCACCGCTGCAGCAGGGCCAATTGCACGATCGATATGCTCTCTAATTGCAAAAAATGTGCTCTTTTTCCTCGGAACATGTCTAACAGCAACTTCCAAAGATGGTAATCTTTGTTTCATCCCCTCCAATCTTTGACCTGTACTGTCCAGGGCAGAGGCAAGAGCTTTTGAATTCTCTAAGCTAGACTTCAAGACTATCCTAGCAGCTACAAGATTGTCAATGTCATCCACTTTCGACATTGCCAAATCAAGCCCTGGTCACGAAATTCCAAGTGAAATGACTCAACTACTATTTCATTTGGTCTTTAAATCCTACACTGCATTCTTTCTTGATTTCTTGTCTGTCACTCGTTTTAAGTTTTCTTCACCAAACTCAACAAATCAGGTAAAAAAAAAAAAAAACGAACAAGGCTACCCATAGTCTAACCAAACCTCACTTGCAAAACAAACATCTCTCAGAAACCCCAACAACCAGGTAATGCAGAATTTATAGACTAATATGGACTTCCAAAATCAAAACAGAAAATAAACACTTGACGTTTAAGAACAGCAACTGAAGTTTCACTTTTGGACTTCAACTTAAAATGTAACACGACAAGAACGAAGTTTCTACTTTCTGTCAACAACTAAACAACCAAGCGTAAATCAAAAGAAACAACAACTCACCTGTTTAGAATCTCCATCGATGACATCAAGATATGCAGCGAAGGAATCCTCCATGAGCCTCTCTTTCGTTTCATGTGATGATGAACAATTCTGATGGGCATCCCCTAAGTCTGTTTTTTCCCCTTCTAATGTTCAAAAAATTATTTGTTTCGGTAAATTTAAGGTGTTTTTTTTTTCCCGCAACAAGGGCAAAGAAATCAAGAAAACAAGCACTTATGAACTCTCTTTTCTCAAAGAGGTTGAAGGTTCAGGAAAATGGCGATTCCTCCCTCACATCATCACCTTCATTTTGTGTTGTGGAGGACAATAAATCCTGCATTTGTAGAGGCCAAAGCTCAACAATCCTGTTTAAAAATTCAAGTCTGATCAATCATTAGTATTTTCTGGATCATGACAAAATATAATTGTATAAAAATCCAAAAAAATATTTAGAAAAAAAAAAACGCAAGGGAGAGGGATAATGTCAGTTGGAACTTTCCAGTTTCCATGTCTGTAATGCCATAATTAAGTCGCCATTGCCGCTTGCCAATCTTGTTTCATATCTTTTCTACACGTATCTATGTCACTTTTTCCATTACAAGTATTTGCTGCTTTCGTGCGAGTGCAAGCTTCTTCTCTTCTGTGTATGTTCATAAAGCTAGCACATAAATATTTATTTGTTCCTAACAATTTAAGGATATTGTTATTTTTCATTCTACAAAGCCACAAACAATTCCGTATTTCCCTAACAAACATCACTTTCATCATTCAACAAGCTAATATTATTTATAATAATTTATACCATATACAAAGTGATCTATCTATCAACTACTATCATAAAATTAAACGTCCCAAGAAAGAAAATTAGTAAAAAAAAAAAGGAACAAATTTGATGTTATATACATATATTTACAGATAATGAAATATTCTCGGATTAGTTTTTCAATCAATCGAGATCAAGTTTATCACTTTTTAGATAAAGCTAATGTTAAAATACGTTTAAATGTTGATCGACCATTGGACTCTCTCTTAAAATAAATAAGTTCAAACTTGATATCATTAGAGAATGACTATGGCTATTTATATGTGAGTAATGAAAACTGAACCAAATCAAGATAAAATTTGATGTTAATTCATCGATGGACATAAATGATATCGATAATCCTTATCAATTTGCTTTTTAATTTAATGTCAATAATTTGGCAACAAAATCTAATTACTTGTCTTAATTTGTGAAATACGAAGAGTAAAAAATATTGAAGGGAAGAGATCCCATTATGTATGAGGAAGATTATTTTACATACTGAAGTTATAATGAAAATCCGTTCTTAAACTGAACTTTATTGAAAATTGGCACGCGAATGACTTGGACTTATTAGTAATAAATACATAACTACAGTACTACACTGTGAATCTTCTATTTTGTTCAACAATATTGATCTAAGAATATATTTGTCAAGAATTCATCCAGAAAGAAGCAAAAGGGTACGAAAGTCAATCAATTTTTTTAAAGAATTATATATATAATTTAATTTTTTTCTATTTTTCCTAAAAGTTGCCAAATTTAAGCCCAGACTTGCATCAAATCGACTTACGATGTATTTTACCCAAATTCTTTCTTTTCTCCCTCTCTTTTTCTGCATGTCTCACCCTCCCCCTTGTATTTTACCTCCAGCAGTGCAACTCATCCAAGATCCTACTACTTCTTCATAGACAACAAGCCCAAATTCAAGGGAGTGGCTCAAATCCATAATGCCCCAAATTTACAAAACATGCCCTAATGGCTTTAGAAGGGCTTAATTGGGATCCACAAATGTGGAGGGACCATCCCAACAACATTGAGTAGTACTGAGAGCTTCGGTTAAAAAAAAAAAAAAAGCCTCCAACTCCTCAGATAAGTCACCAACGTCGTGGAATAATTCAAACTCCATCATCTATGATCTGATTCAACAAGAGAGGATTTCTTTGACCTATCCATAAGGGTGATCATCCGGTTAAATGGTTCGGTTTTGTACGATTCGGTTCGATTTTCGGTTAATCAAATTAAGAAAAATAAAAACCAAAACTGAACCGAAATAAATTCGGTAAATTCGGTTTGTAACCAAATTATTTCAGTTTGGTTCGAAATATTTTGGTTTTAACCGAAATATTTTGCTGTAAAAAAAAATCATTACGAGAGAGATGTTTTGTACTAGCACTTAGTCCACTAGCCAATGAAGTAACATCTTGTTATCAATTAATCCTTTTTATAGACAATCATAAAGCCCTTGAAGATTTTAATTAGTTTTTAATGAAAACCAGTCCAAGTATAATTGATTTTGTCATTTAAACACACAGTATCTCAATTAATTACACTCTGTCACTTTCTTTACTTACCCTAACGGTCCTCAAAATGTACTTCTCATCTACTTGTTTCAGTTTTAGCAAGAATGAAGATTGAAAAGTTAGAGATTTAGAAATTATAAATTTTTTTACTATTTATTTTGGTTTTCGATCGAAAGAGAAATTTTTTTCTAAAAACCGAACCAAACCGAAATAATTTTGGTTTTTTCGATTCGGTTTTATATTGTATAATTTTACATTTAAAACCGAATCAAATTTCATAATTCGATTTGGTTTTATTCGATTTTCGATTAACTAAACTGTTTGCTCACCCCTACCTATCCATTTCAAAGAAAACATTCTTCAAGCATAATGGTTATGCAGTTTGGTTTTGAAAGAAATAATCATCTTCAATTTCTTCTACTGCGATCAAAAATTCATCCAGAAAGAAGAAAAAGGATACGACAGTCAATCAACTTTTTTAAAGAGTTATATATATATATATAATTTTTTTACCTAAAAGTTGCCAAATTTAAGCCCAAACTTGCATCAAATTGATTACAATGTATTTTACCTAAATTCTTTCTTTTCTCCCTCTCTGTTTCTGCAAGTCCCTCCCCCTTGTCTTTTACCTGCCGCAGTGCAGCTCATCATTGATCCTACTACTTTTTCATAGACAGGTAAGACAACAAGCCCAAATTGACTATGGTGGACCGAATCCATAATGCCCCATATTTACAAAACATACCCCTAATGTCATTCAAAGGGCTTGGGATCCACAAATGTGGAGAGGCCATCCCAACAACGTTGTGTAGTACCATGTCCATTTCTTCTCAATACTATTGGATTGGATTGAGAGCTTCTGTAGAAAAAGCCTCCAACTCCTCAGAGAAGTCACCCACGTTGTGGAATAACTCAAACTCCATCCTCTGTGATCTGATTCAACAAGAGAGGATTTCTTTGACCTATCCATTTCAATGTAAAACGTTCTTAAAGCATAAGAATTATGTAGTTTGGTTTTGGAGGAAATAATCATCTTCAGTTTCTTCTACTGCGATCATAGATTGAGATTTTGAGTTCAAAAGATATGTTTAACTACATGCCAACTATATGAAATGAAGATAAAATAAAAGCTAAAAGAAGGAATAAAGAATAAGCAATATACCTTCAGAATAAGCAGGCTAGACAAAGTTTGTTGTATTGTCAAAATTAAATCCATCTTTGATATGTCAAAGTACAACTAGAAGTCCTACTTCTTCTCTCTTTTTGCACAATAAAAAATCAGAATATGAATAATCAATCACACATAAACAAGCAAGATTTTTTTACGTGGAAAACCTCCAAAATGGAGGAAAAAACCACGGGACCGTAGTCCATTCAAACTCATCCACTGTATCAATGAAATTACAATGTAAGGTCTGCTCTTGATAACTAGAGCCTGCTACGTCTATAAACAGATGATGGAATCAATTTCCTTGGCTCACAATACAAATATCATCACCAACAAGGTGGATTACAAGAAATACCAGCTAGTGAGATCTCACCAAAGGGCCGGGTTGATCAACAGCCAAGATCAAGCAAGTGGAGGGGAAGATAACCATAATCAAGACCAATGAAATCAAAGCTTGCACAGTCAGAAACAACTTATTGAAATTACCCCTAGCAGACACCAAGCCGCTCTTCGAATTGAAATGAACCCCAGTTTCTCTCTTGGCAACGTCAGTCTCTACCGTGTATGCTGTCCTGCTGACTAACAACGTGGTATGGTATTGAGTTGATGCCTCTGTATGCTCCATTTCACCAACAGACCCATTCAAGTGTTGGATAGAGTTCAGAGCTTCAACAGGGAAAGCCTCAATCATCAAACAAGCCACTAGCTGCCAGTTCCTTCAATGACAAGAAAAAATATTATCAATTACAATCATAGAGAACTTTATGATAACAGATAAAACAAATCGATTATTTCTTCAACTAGTAGAGATCCATCATTAATACCATATCATATGCCATAGACTTCTGCACTTAACTGGCGATGATGATATGTCTCTAGTGTCACATCATCCTACAACAATATGGGATCCGCAATAACAGGTAAAACTCGTTTAAAATTTTCATTTCAATTAATCATGCTTGATGACAACCTTATTGATTTTCTATTTTAGATGTAAAGGAAATAGTAATATTCAATACCAGATGTAAACATTGCATTTGCAAGGTTAGTGAGCGTAATTCTCCACAAATGAATCAATAACTTAAATTTTGGAATTCAACTTTGTCAAGTCTATTTCACTCTATTGTCTCCAACTGAGGAAAGATTATCCAGAGGAAAAAAATATTCATACTTAAAATCCTGCTTTAGTTCTGTAATCTCAATAGAAATTCTGCTCTACTTTTGGTTTCTACAGTCAACATCCCATATATGATTTGTTGATCATACTTACCATGCGCTGCTGCGTGCGGTTACTTTTACAGGGAATGGGAAGGGAGGGTTGACAAGCCCATCCATCTACAATACCAAGGTTGAACAGGGTCAGCTGCATTTTCTGCTACAAAGAGGGGATCTTTTCCTCCTTCCCTTGAATGCATTTTTGGAAACTACCAGTATATACACCACCCGGTTAGTAAATTGAATCCCTAGCACTGCTGCAATTTCTCAAAGAAGCGGCAACAAGACCTGAACACCAATGAGTAGAGAAACAGATTACCATCAACAATATGATTTTATTTCACTTCCCAAACCAAAAAAGGTACAACAGCTGAAGATGAAAACCAAGGTCAGCTTACAAAGGGAAAAATAATCATTCCTGAATCTTCCACTCCTAGAAGACGATCTGCTCCTTCTCGTTCCTTGAATGCCCCGTCAGAAGCCCAATAAAAACAGTTTTTGCAACGTCCCAATTGGTTAATGGAATCCCCAGCTTAGCAGCAATCTTTGAGACAGAAAGATCGCCATAGCAATGAGTAGAGAATCATACTACTATCAAGTAACTAGATAAGAAACGTTGGCTAATGAAGGGGAAAAAGAACAATTTCTGTATGCTTGCAAAAAGGCTTACAAAATATCAAATGCAATTACAGCTAGCATTCTGAATTGCCTTCTCAGAATATCCTGGAGGACCTGGAAAAATGAAACAGAAGCTAAGAGAAGGAAAAAAGAATACTAGATGAAGCATATAAGAAAATTCATCAAGAACTGTTAATGCAATCATCTTGCATCTTGCACTCACAGTACATTGATTTCGCATATGAAGACCCCCCACCAGTACTCCTTGTTAGGTTCCATAAAATATCATTTTATCAGAAATTACTTCATTAGTATTCATATTATTATGCTGTCAAGTACTGATTATATTGAGGTATAAAATAAAATTGGAAAGACTTTTATAGTTGATTGAAGGAAGTTTCTAGGTGCATATATACCTCATAGAGTATTATTATCTTAAAGGACCATCTTCGACCATTTGCTCCACTAGCAGCTCAAAAATGAATAGTGTAACCTTATTGAAAGAATGGACCACCGCTGTTATTAGCAACAGAATTGTAGAGTTCAATAACTGCTAGAGCTAATCCTCATCTTCAAATGTATGAGTCCCATAAAGCCCAACGGAATTTGTAAAAGCTGAAGCATTTCCTTAGAATGTCAGAGCAATGCACAAATTGAAGGCGAATCAAAATTTACTAGAGTGACTGTCACATGTTTCTCAATCAAATGGCAATTTACTAGAGTGACTGTCACATGTTTCTTGATCAAATGGCTGCAGCCTGCTTCTAAGGCTTCAAATCAGGAACAAAATCATTGTCGATCGGTTACAGAGGAGGATGATATTTAAAGAGCTGAGGTATCAGCAGGTGCTTTATCCTCTGACAAACAATCTACTATGCTTCTTGAAGTGTATTGGAATATTACGTTCTTCTTGTCGAGTAACTCTTGTTTGGTTGACCAAACTAGGAAGTATGTTTCTCCTGAAAATTTAGTAACAGTAAATTAAATGCAAAATCCGCATAATTATGGAGAGTGTGGACTTTAATAGAAAGAGGTAAATACCTAGCAGACAACTTTATATGAGAGGAAATTTTTAGGGAAAGGATGAAGAGGGGAGAAAAGCATTGGTGTGTAGAGATGAACTTGTTTGCATGGAGGATTCCGCTGTTACAGGTTTTAACACGGCGGCTGTAGAACCACGGAGTCCTTGTCTTAGCTATGCTGAAAGTTCATCCATCATCTCTGTTACAAAAAACACAAGAAGAGCTCTTCTTAGTCAATTCATAGCTAAGTTTTCTTTCATAAAATCGTCACATTGGACTCAAATAACAGATGATTTTCTTGGGAAATCAACTGTGTACAAAATTTTGCAGAAAATCTGTCCCTTGGAATTTTTTCAACCTAATCTACAACTTAACTAGATGGAAAAGTACTCAAGAAACATCAATTTTCAATCCAATTTTCACTGCTGTACCTAATCTGATTTTCAATCATCAATAGGACCATGTCAATGATACACTAGAACAAGCAACATCAACTTGAAAAGCACTCTTGAAAAATCTTATAATTGTATGAGAGAAAGTTAGCTTGACAAAAATTCTACGGTTAAATTTAGAAAAAAATCAATTGACAAGACGAGTTCAAGTTATAAACTTAGGTGAGATACACAGAGCATGCAATTATCAACTTTTTAAGGAAAAAATCAATAAATAAATAAAATTTCCAAACTCCGACTACTAAACTTCTTCTAATTCTTCAACTTCACAGTGGAAAAAGGATATATTTGATCTTAGGAGTACAAAATTCGCTGCACCTTATAAAACCCAATATTGGTACAGTTGCTTCTATCTCAATTCTTAAAGACTATTGAAATTAAGCCAAACAAGTATATTATACGGCTATCAGATAAAAGAAACGAATTGCAAATGAACATATCTTGTCTAGATTCAAGTTTCCTAAAAAATGGTGTAAATCAATCAAAATCAAAGGAAAAGTGAGGCAATTAAATTTATTAATTAGAGAAAATAATTGAAAGATTTGAGAAATTCAAACTTACTTGGTTTTGTATAGTTGTGCAACGTAATTTGATTCTTGGGATATTCATAATCTTGGGCCACTCAGAGCCACTCCCCTTGGCGCAATTTTCCTCAAGTAATGGGCAGTTGAAGATCCACAAGTCCCTTAAATTGGAATTGGAGAGGCTTTGCATGGCTGTTGAACTTGCAACATACTTGAGATTCTTACAATCCCACATATGAAGGGATTCAAGAGAAGAAAGGTTGCCCAACCAATCTGGCAAAGCTTCCTCTAAGTCCTCCCCGTTGAATCCCTCAACAGTCAAAATCTTAAGGGAAGTGAGGTGTTGAAGTTGATGTGGTATACTCTTCAGTTTATCCCATCCATGTATCGTTAGCACTTCCAGGTATCTACTCCCACTCAAGTAGTGCTGGATTGGACTCATAATTCCAACAGGAAATTCCTCCAACTCCTCTGAGAATCTACCAATTGTCAAATCTTCCAATCTTGTGAGGCCGAGAAAGAAATTCTCTGGAAAATCACTCAAAATGGGGCAGTCTGTGATAGATAATGATCGAAGACAAGAAGAAAGCGGTGGCAATTGGAAGATAAGCTCGTTGTTGCAATCTGTTATTTTCAATCTCTCCAGATAAGATGAGCACGATAGTAGCCCACTAATTGCAAGACTATTGCTCGTTAATTTTGGACAAAAGTTAATGCTCAAACTTCTAAGAGATTGCAATTCTCGGAAATAACCACCTCTATTATTAGGAGGAGTATCATTACATATCATCAACTCCCTGCAGCTATCAATAGACAATTTCTCCAGAGCTGTGCAGCGTTGTATGCTTGGAATAGATGCTAGATTTCCACAATCATATATAGCTAAATATTTAAGAGATGGCGGGACGGCATCAAATTCATCACGATCATTGATAAGCAAATTTACAGGTTTTGATGAAAGACGAGCCATCGATGGAATGCTTTTCAATTTAGGACAGCGGGAAATGTTCAACCTTTCAAGGCAAGGAGATACTACTAGTGGTTGTACGCCATAAGTTGTAGCAGCTGGCACCATCCACTGCTCTAGACTCTCCATATCTTTTAGATAGAATTTTTTTAATGCTGGAAAAAGTGGAACTGACATTCCACTATTGCTACTATAAAACTCATTCCCTATACAACTTACACTACCCATTCCTCTTATCACAAGATCTTCAAGACAAGGAAGGTGTCCAAGTGAAGGAAGTTGTTTACACTCTCTGCAGTCTTCCAATTTCAGCATCACCAAATTATGGAGTGCTGGCATCAGCAACCACGGTGGGAATTTTTCACCAAAATAGTTCTTAATCTTTAAGAATCTTGTACCTGGGTGAGCCTGGAGCCCTTCCAACACATCCTCGTCATTCATGTTGCTGGTGTTGCTTTCTCTTCTTCTACTCCATTCCAATTCCAGATTGGATATCTTTGCTTTACTAAGCAAGTCTGATCCCTCGGCCTCTTTTTTGTCTCTCACATGCTCCAAACCGGCTATTCTCAACTCCCCTCTTAATTCCTTCAAGCTTCCCAACTCTTCAATTTTATGGCCCAGAGCTGGACCCACAACAAAAAACGGCAACGTTTGAAGATTGGTTAAGCACCCCACATGCGCTGGCATCTGGCAATCTTTAATTAGATAAAGATGTCTTAAGCTCACCAAATTTCTCATGTTTTTAGGAAGCTTCTCGAGTGTCCAGTGAAATCTTAAGGTTTGCAAATGGTAGAGCTTCGTGATGGATTCCGGAAGCGCTTTGACACCAGTTTGTGAGATGTCCAAATATCTCAAATGTTTCAGCCTACAAATTGAATCTGGCAACTCTTTGACATCATAATCACCATGCCAGATTAGAGTTTGCAAGCGTTTGAGTTTTATGGAATTGTTGTGGAAGACATTGACACTCGAGAATAAAGAACGCAATTTCTTAGCAACACCTGGCAGACGTGTCAGCTCATCATCCCTGTAAGATAGGAGATTTAGATGACGGATACGACATTTGTCATCTAAAACTGAACCTGCGTTCAAAATCAGTGTTTCTGATTTCGAAACAGATAGTGCAAGATCATGCATAAGATCATGCATCTTGCAACCTGTTACATTCCTATACTCATCCCTTTCCACATCTTGAAAAAAGGAATGTTCAAGCAAGTAGTCGAAATAGTCGTCACCTTT